TCTAGTGTATAAAAAAAAACTAACTTATTGTAAGTGTGTAAGGATGTGGTAAATGAGTGAAAGAGGTATGTAGTGCTGTGAACGATGAGGGAATATATAATAAAAATAACAAAACCTCATTCAACCGCATAATACCTCATTATAACAAACAAAAAAAAGGCCAAATAAATTAAAAAAATGTTAGGGGTATGAAAAATAGATAGTAGCCGATTCTCAGGCTTACTGAATATCCATAAAAAAATTCATGAGAATCGGTCAAGCGGTTTCGGAGGAGTATGGGAACGCACATTGTGACACGAGAATTTTATATATTAGATTATGCTATGAACAAACAACTTAATAAAGGGAATAACCGAAATTTTACTCATTATTTTTGTAATCATACGGGCATAGTTGAGATATTTCATAAAAAAAATTACCTACTCTCCTTTTTGTATTTAGCTTCTAGTGTCATATAACGTGGTTTCGCACAAAGCAGGATTTTGTAGGAACGAATCTACACTGCTACTGGTGGTAGGACCTCTTGTGAGTCCGCACGGGTAGGTACCACCACCCTGCCTATTTCTGCTGTGAAGCACTAATGCGTTTCGGTTTGAAGGGTGGGGCAGCCGTTGTAACTATACTGAGACTTTAGAACTTATATCTCAAGATGGGTAGCCCGTTTACGTTGTAGATGTCTATGGGCTCCAGTAACCACTTACACCAAGTGGGCTGTGAGCTCGTCCACCCATCTAAGCAATAAAAAAGGAGGGCTATCTGTAGGGTTGTCAGACTTGCCGTATTTCCCGGGACGTCACGTATTTTAGGCTTAGTTTAAAATGTCCCGGCGGGACTGACTGTCCCGTATTCGAACCCTACGATTATAATTGTATTGATTTTTATAAATATGGTAAAATACCGATAAAAATATATTATGTTAAAACTAACTTGCTTCTCGGAGAAATATATAAAAAAAATTCACTATATAATTTTGTTTTTTATTTGTCCCGGCTAAAAAACTATATTCCCATTTTTTTTTTTTGCCAATTTAAGCTTTTGCCCCTTATAGCCTGAAAAAGAACTGGCAGCCCAAGTTATCTGTATTATAATCAATTGAATTTAAAGCTTTTTACTGTTTAAACGATGGCTGATATTTCGGATAAGACTGGTCATATTGATGTTGTTTTTACTGAGGCAATCTTTCTACTTGATTTGTTATTTTGGTTTCGTGATGTTATCATTTTGAATTGGTCTAACGAAAGCTAGTTAAACGGTGTCTGCTTTTGCTAGAATACAAAAATAGATTAACACATATATAAAATACTACTTAATACATTTCTTTCGGTTTGCTGATTTATTCATGATGTACTGAAGTATCTACACATCGAACACGGATCGATGATTCGTCCAGTACTTATCTCTGTGCAGCACATTTTTAATATGGAATTTATCAACCTAGCGAAAAGTACTGCGGTCTATGCGTCATGATAATCGCCTTATCGTTGCCGCCGCTGACTACTCCTCGAATCCTGATCACGCAGGAGCCAGTCACCGTCAACGCCCTAGACATGTCCTTACGGATCCATCAGATCCAATAACCTTTGGATTAGACACCTTCAGCTCTGACACTAGGAGCAGGCTTAGGGTAACCGTACTCGTCGAACTCGACAAAGAGTTTGACGTGCAACCTAACCCATGAATCGGCTCGCTGAGTTTCTCGCCAGATCTTCTCAGCGGGTCGCGATTCCGATCCGGTAGTAGATTAATTCGCGAAGCAGCTACTCTTTAGTTGTTGGGTCTCCTTCGGAGGTGCTCGGGCAGCTGTTAGCAAATCCCACCCTTCCTGGCTGAGCCTTTGCTCGCCCATCTATCCTGGTGAAACTGGAAAGGTACCCGGGCCACCAATAATACTTCAATCCTAAAAAAAAAAACATTTTTAATCCCGGTTAATTTGTGATAATAGAATCTTAGCGTCCAAGTAATAAAAAAGGAAATGGAGACACAATTTCAAACATCACACTTCCATTCGCCTTGTAAAGCCAAGGTCAAAAAACCCTTTCCGTTCCAACGTACCCAAACTTAAGTGTTTTACGACAGGATGCGCTGATGACGATCAACGCGTGACCATATCCACGGTAATTATCATTCCGCGCCTAATGACCTGATACTGAAGCTTCGTATAACTTGGTAGGACAAAAACAAACAAGTAACCGATCTAAAACTGTTGCCTTAACTCAGTTTGCAGACGAACTGCTAATCGACAAATCGTCTTTTCGCATTAAAAGTGTGCAATTTCCAAAAATATTCGAAATTTGAGTTAATATGCGGAATCATTTGGTATCACCAGTATTTTTCTCATAAGTACTGTCAAAAGAGCGTAGTTTAGTTTTAGTTTTTCAGTTTACCTATAGTAACAAAATTAATTCTTATTTTTATCTTACTTTATAAGACAGATAATGTAACTGGTAAAAGATAAAAAATAAATGTTGCAAAGATTATTAATATTAAAAATATGACATGTTAAACCTTTAAAACACTCTCCTGTAAAATTAGTAAGTTTTGAGATTATACAGTTTTAATGCGAGAAGACGAAATGACATTGTGGCGGTAGCTATCATACAACATACGTGACAGATGTCTGAATCTCGCTTTCATTTTTCATGATAAGCTTGCATCTAAACAAGTTCCAAACAACGTTCAGACCGTCGATCTACCGGGCAATTTCACCCGGTGGAAGATCTTTTCATTCGTCTTTATCTTCCAAAACATTTATTTGGTTGGCTATATTTTGCGTGCGTTCCAGTTTCCGAATCTGCTGTGGGGTTGTTCATTGTATGCCTTTGGACGCTATTAAGAAAATGATTACTAAGTAAATAAATAATAATTAAAGGTAATACAAAAATAAGCATTCAGTCTTTTAACCCTATGATTTCTCTCACCACTCCGCAGAGTCACCTGTTATTTCTTTTTCCAAATACAATCAGGGCTAACATTAGTTGCTTGAACTTTGTTTCAACGTAGCATGTTTTCGTAGATAAATCTCGGGTTTAAAAATACCACATTTAAGATGTAATAATAAGTGTTCCGTGCATTCAAAAATTATTTTCTGCACTAATAACAGAATGCATAGTTACGAGTGTTCGTTTTTAATTTATTCAACAAACTAGTTTAATGATTATATTTTTCTTGTATACACGGGTCATTTTGCCAATTAAAAAACTTACCTTAGCGTTTAAAAAAAACAGAGTATACTCTGACTTTTTTTAATCCCGAACATAGTCGGAAATGCAAACATATGGAGTGGATGAAGTTTTAATACGTTTTTTTAGATATTAAAAATGACATGTCTGTTATAAGCAAATCTTTTTCTTAAATTCATGTGAGTACGATAAAAGGCCTTAGGTGTTTCATGTGAGATCTACAAAAACATATTTAATCAATTAACTATGAACAATCAAAATAGTCCAACAACGAGTCAATGCCTTATTCCGAACGACCGTGTTGCAAGTCGTCACGGCACCTGATGTCCTTCCAAAACGGTCTTAGAAAAAAAAACTATTTCGTAAACTGATTTTATTCGAATTTGGACTTAAAATCTAAAGGCTTAGAGTGTAAATATAAATAGCACCGACATTGTTTCGTCCATTAACACAATTAACCACGCTTGATGTTTTGATCGCTATGTGATTGTATGAATAAAATAAATATTTGATAGATTACGTTCGAAGTCCGGTCATGTACTTTTTACTTAATTTTACCTACTTTTTACTGGTGGTAGGACGTCTTGTGAGTCCGCGCGGGTAGGTACCACCAACCTGCCTATTTCTGCCGTGAAGCTGTAATGCGTTTCAGTTCGAAAGGTGGAGCAGCCGTTGCACTGTAAAAACTGAGACCTTAGAACTCTTGTCTCAAGTTAGGTGGCGGCATTTATTTTGTAGATGTCTATGGGGTCTGGTAACCAGTTAACACCAGTTGGCCTGTGAGCTAACCGATCTAAACAATAAAAAAAATGTAATCGTCGTTGTTCTTACGCGGTTTTTGATTTTTCCGTAAAGTTTCTTTTTTTTTTCTCCCACCTATTCGCTGGTAGCCTAAGGAGATAGTCCAACTACACCGTGACTGGGTAGGTGAGTTCACGAGGCTCATTGAGAGAATATGCTAACACTGGCCCTAGCTAGAACTAACAGTGCTCATCACCAACACTAATCAAGATTTATCTTATCTATGTTCTCTGTACGTGTGTGTGTGGCTTTTGTTCGTCAATAAAATTTTCTACTTTCTAATGTTTTTTAATTTCTGTACAAATATTTTCGTGATAGAAGTAGCCTATATCATTAAACAATTATCTACTTGCACATGAATCGAGCCAGTACTACCCAAACAAACAATGAGACAGACAATTATAATGAAAATGTAGTAGATATTAATTTGGAAATCTCAAACAGACAAATCACTTCCTATGATTACAGACACACAATTAGCTATATTTGTGTTTGAAATACCTGTTTAATTCGATGACAAATCATAGGTAAATACTAAAACTTAATTTATTTATATGTACGGTGTGATAGAAGATGGTTTCTTAATCTTGCATTCTTCCGTTATCTTTTCCAAAGCGATAAGATATGGCGGTGAAATTATTTCACAACCGCACCTCCTTGAGTTGCGCATTCCTCATGTCTGAGGGTCGTGACCATCTTCTCCCATTATCCTTGTCTGGATGATTTTTCGTCATCTTCCTCTCTTCTCGGCGGTGTGTATGGCCTCTCGTATATTCCGGATTAAAATTAACCATGAGTTCTAGATTATTTCTAATTTTAGATTATTGGACAACGATCGCCTTATATGACCCATAGTAAAATACCCTAATAAATTCAACGCAAATTAGGCAGTGGCTTGGCTGTGGACCTGGTATTTCTGACGTCCACGAGCGACAGTAACCACTCACCATCAGGCAGGCCTAATGTCCGCCTACAAAGGCAAAAAAAACACCCTAATAATTGAATAATCTTTGTCACCAGAGAGATGAAGAAAAAGCTAGTCTGATAGCTGAACTTACAGCGCAGAATTCTCGCCTCACGGTCCAGTTGAAGGAGTCATCAGCCACAGAAGCTCAACTGCTGGCCCAGCTGGAAGCCTTAAAAGATCAATGTTCCATGAGGAAGACGGATCTACAGGTAGGTCGAGAATTAACCAACCAACCTTGATAGACAAATATTTACTTATATATGAATGTTACTTAATATGACGACAATAATATGGCTTTGTGCACGATGAATTTTAAAAGAATAAGGCGGAATAAATTAATTCATGATTAATTAAAAAAATACTCCTTATCTTCTGTTATAGTTCAGTCTTTTGACTTGCCCTTCAATTATAATTTTACCTTGTAGCCTCAAGGCAACCAGTAGGCCTTCAATTAGTAGCAACAAGCCCATAATCTATAATAGGAATCAAGGATTTAACCAATAAAAAATAGTTGGCGTTGATTATTTGTTTCCATTCTCAACGTTCGGGCATCGATTATCCAATCGGATAATGAGAGCGAGAACTTATTGTCATATCCAAATACAAGATTCAGCAAATAGACAATCACTTATTTAGCGATAGACTATAATACATAACTGAATTTGTAAGGATATCAAACAGAAACATTTAGTTTGATTTTTATTCAGGATCACGTCCAAAGTCTACAGTCTTTGAAATCTGAGCTGGCGTTGGTCACTGACAAGAAGACAGACCTGGAACGAAGGCTTACTGGATCGCTGAAGAACAAGGAGAACTTGATGCAACAGCTCGATGAAGCTAACGACAGAATCGCGGCCTTGGAGAGGCAATTGAAAGAACAGGTGAGCATTTTAATCTATATATTTCCAAGTTGGTGAAATATTTTATCCTAATAGATATAACTTGGAAATAGATTTATTTGGTGTCTTTGAGAGATGGTATGTTGTTGATTTAAAAACCTATTATACAAACTTCGACAGACTCCACAGTAAGATAAAAATCAAGTAAAGATATTATGATTGGCTTAAAGCTTGCTGATTGATCTAAGTTTGTTTAGCATGATATGTCATGAATAATTAGTATAGGTATTTATTGTAGGCTTGGGATAGAAATCTCAAGACGATACTACTAGTATGGATGGTTCATAGAGATGTTGACTAGTGTCATTGGTTTGATACATGATCAATAATTGAAAAAAACTATTAAAATGAATGTTATTGGTAGAAGTCGGCTCACACGTGCGTTTTTTACCGTATTACTTATGTCTGCCGCGAAACATTCGTGATAATAAAAGATAGTGTTCATGCATCTGCCGTGTTGAGGATGTCGATCCTTGGAATTATTGTATCTGTATTAAATTTTCGCCACCAATAGAACCATCGTGCTGTGTGTGGCGCAAGCAACGTCTGCATTTTCAATTGGTTCAGGATATTGTTCCCCGACACCATTATCCTAAAATAGTGGTATCTTTTTGTTTAAAAAAAAACTCATCTTTTAATTTCACTGAAGTCTTAAATCCGCAAAAATTTATAGAAATTACAAGTTTTTTTTTTTAATTGCTTAGATTGGTTGACGAGATCACAGCCCACCTGGTGTTAAGTGGTTACTAGAGCCCATGGACATCTACAACGTAAATGCGCCACCTACCTTGAGATATAAGTTCTAAGATCTCAGTATAGTTACAACGGCTGCTCCACCCTTCAAACCGAAACGCATTACTGCTTCACGGCAGAAATAGGCAGGGCGGTGGTACCTACCCACGCGGACTCACAAGAGGTCCTACCACCAGAAAGTGCGGAAAATCTAATGCCGCTACAGATCGCATTGTTTTAATACGGATACTTTAGGCTGTTTTCAGACTTCGCTTATTATAGTGCCATATAGTATAGCATAGTAAGTAAGCCGTATACTAAGCCAATAATATATAATAGAGTACAGTGTGAACGTGTCCATAACAATGTATGGTGCGCGATATTGTTGTGCTATGAACTATATACTATATGCTATTATATTATGGCCTAGTTTGAAAGCAACTTTATGCTTTAATATGTCTAGGGGAATTCAATTACTCATTAAGTTACTCGTTAACTCCTCCGTAGGTCTCGTTATGATAAAATGAAAAATGTTTCTTTTAATGTTAAATGTTAGATTTTTATGTTAAATTATATGATCGCAAATTACAGATAAAAATCTTTCATAGATATTGAAATTTACAATTTAAGAAGCTAAGGTCCAGAATATCTTCCAGCGTCTCTTTTAATATCTTAAATAACTTGTAGATTATGCGTTAGATAAACCATAATTATTTTCAGCTGCTATTACTACATTCTTAACATTTAACTAGAATTTATTTTACGAAATTCATTTTAAAATTCGTGAAATAAAAATCAATAGCAGCATTATTGCATAAAACATCCATTACATTACAAAAGATATGATCGGTGATGTGATCAAACGTTCACATCAATCTTGTGAAATGATTGATTCGTTCATTGATCCATTTTACATATAGTTTTAATGTATGATAATTGCTTTGATCTTTATTTTGCTGAACATAGAGGCGAGTCTGGTGGTGGATTATTGTCGGAATCAGATGTGAAGTGGACATCTGAATTGTTTTGTAATAATGAGTGTGTGTGTGTGTGTGTGTGAGAAAGAGAGAGAGAGAGAGAGAAAGAGAAAGAGAGAGAGAGAGAGAGAGAAAGAGAAAGAGAGAAAGAGAAAGAGAGAGAGAAGAGATAATAATTATACTTTATTGTACACTCAAACAAAATTAACATTAAAAAAACAGTCAAGTAATGGAACTGGAATGATTGCGTCGAGATAGGGGCCCGGCCCTCAAATTATCTGGTACCAATTATTCACGAACGAATTCTATCCGTTCGATTTCGTGTCTCAAGATGGGTCTTCGTGTCTCAACAGATGTCTATGGGCTACGATAACTGCACCTAAACTGGCCTAAGAGCCTTTACACGTGTCATACCTTTCTCTGGTACTTTGTGTAATTTCCGCCGATTCGACCCAAGAACAATGGACGGTAATTAAAAATTAATCTCGACTTGAAGGTTGTGTTATTGTGAAATAAAGTTCTCAGTTACAATACATTAAGGCGCGGCCAGATAGGAGGGATTCGCCAAATGGCGAAAACGCACTTGAGGCCGCGGAGCTTAGTATTCGCTAAACAATACAGATTCAAGGACAGGCACCATCATCCTGCTCAGTTCTGTTGCGAATCAGTCCTATGTTTCAATTTAGAGGTAGTGAGTGATCACCGTGATAGACGATTGGACCAACATTGACTTCCACGGTGAAGGAATAACATCGTGTAATAAAAATCAAACCCGCAAAATTATAATTTGCGTAATTACTGGTGGTAGGACCTCTTGTGAGTCCGCACGGGTAGGTACCACCACCCGGCCTATTTGTGCTGTAAAGCAGTAATGCGTTTCAGTTTGAAGGGTGGGGCAGCCGTTGTACTGTTAAAAGTGAGATCTTAGAACTCACATCTCAAGGTGGGTGGCGGCTTTTACGTTGTAGACGTCAATGGTATCTGGTAACCACTTAACATCAGGTGGGCTGTGAGCTACTCCAGCCACCTAAGCAATAAATAAAAAAAATTGGCTTCGGATGTCTCAAGGTTGGTGATACCTTTTACATCGTGTCCAAAGCTTCGGTATTCACTAACTCAGGTGGAAGATAAACTTTACTTGTTGATTTGTTCTAAAAAGACTGCCCAGCTTTAAATCCGGCATAGGTTTTATGAGTATTCGTCGACTTTTGAAACAGGGGAATTCACCAGCGAAACAAAACATCCGACTCCTAGTCGCGATTTTGCGAATTCTGGGTATGTGGACTCGCCTTTAGGATCGTTCGTGATACAAATGTTCAATAATGATGCTTCTTTGTGAGATAATAGAGCAATCTTCCGTTCTAGTTTGAAGGGTACTCTGTCATCTAATATACAATTTATTTTAATACAATACTCCCGATATTTCCGCATCAACTTGCAACATTGAACCCTTTACGTAACAAAAAAAAAACATTAGCGCTCGCTGGAATAAAATTAGATATTTTTTTTTGTTTTTAAATTATAACTCTAACCGAAACACAATGTAGAATTTCTGACTTCATTTAAAAACGATGTCGTGATTTAACTGCATTTTTATATCGACTGGTTTTTCTTTGGATAGTGAAACAGAACAAAATCTTATGCTAATTTTATTTTGGCTGTATTTCACACTTGTTGCAACTCAGGAATAGGGATACCAGCAATTTGGAACTCCTTGTGGTGACCGGTAAAATCGAGGGGAAAAGGCCTAGGGGTAGAGGTTCCAAACAATGGTTGGACCAAATAGCGGAGGAACTGAAAATACCTGTCAGCGACGCACTCCACCAAGCTACAGAACGGGATCGATGGAGACAGCTGGTTGACGGAATCGGAGGGAGTCACGATCCTCAGCAATGAGGGACCGATTGAAGAGAGAGAGAGAGCAACTGAGGAAATGTTATCAGCTGTAGATCTGCCGACATGGTCCAAGATTTCGTTATGATAATTGGGCAGTATGCCATCATAGGTTTACTATTTCAAAATAACTACAGATAATTTCTGATTACACATACATTACGGTTGCTGTAAAACACTGTTATTTAAGATTCCGAAACCTCTGTTAAGACGCTGTGAAATATTTAGAGTTTGATCTATGAGATACGGCTGTGAAACTATTGTGGTTTACTCCTTTCTCCTAATAAATGTTAGAAACCTAATTTATCAAATATTTCGTATGGGCGTGCAAGAAAAAGAAGAATTGCAAAAACGGTGTCCAGTAAATATAATAGGAAAATTAATAATGTAATCATAAGTGTATTAATTTAAGGAGAAGGTTTAATGGGTTATAAAGTTCTTGATAAAGTCACTTAGGTTTGATCAAATGACAGATTTAAAATGTGGACAGTTAAGACTTATCGTATCCGGAGAGCAGAAATAGGGAAGCCCTCAGGCGAGATCCCGCTGTGCCCTGTCATCAATAAACTTTCCAAGAATTAGAAGCGACGAGGAGCCTGGTCATATACCCATATCTTTTGACATGGACACGTTTCATTAGGTTTTCCCTCATTCTGAACGTAAACTTAGATTTTGCGTACAACCGATAGACTTTTTTTTATTGCTTAAATGGTTGGACGAGCTCACAGCCCACCTGGTGTTAAGTGGCTACTGAAGCCCATAGACATCTACAACGTAAATTCGCCACCCACCTTGAGATATAACTTCTAAGGTCTCAGTATAGTTACAACGGCTGCCCCGCCCTTCAAACCGAAACGCATTGCTGCTTCACGGCAGAAATAGGCAGGGTGGTGGTACCTACCTGTGCGGACTCACAAGAGGTCCTACCACCAGTACTACAAGCATTCCGTTACTAAATCCCTCTTAAATTACAGTTGCATTATTTTACGTCCACAGGAGCAACTGTATCGGAACACGTTGAAAGACTTGGAGCGTCTCCAACGCTCTCACGACACGTTGGCTGAACGGGTCGGAGCACCAGACCCTATAGACTCGTCGGACACGGCCAGATCCCTGCACGCGGAGATGGAGACCGAGCCCGACGACCAGGACGACAGCTGGTTGAGGTCTGAAGCGGTGCAAGTCTACAAGCAGCTGAGGTCCTTGGCCTTGCAGCTGAATACTGGACATGATGACGATTCAGGTATTGTAAACCGTTTTTTTAATACAGCGCATCCTCCGTGCGTCGTGTTCCTCAGTGCTGAGGATCGTGACTTTTACGGAATACATACGTAAAGGTTTTCTTGGGAAAATTGCTAGTGGTGGGTTCACGCGTCCTTCCACAGCAGAATTTCAGAGGCGATTTAGTTCCTTTGGGCTACTGAAGCCCTAGTCCGGGTTAGTTGACCGACGCCCTTTGCTCGGCGTCAATTTTTACAGCCGGGTAAGTGGCATACCGACGCCAACCCTCCTCTTTTCTCATCCTTGGGCTTGGGACCGGCAATGGCAGAGTTAAAACAGTGCATAAAAACGTAAACCTTTCCATTAGACGCCTTCAGCTCTAACACTAGGAGTAGGCTTAGGGACCACTCGTCGAACTCGACCAAGAGTTCGACTCGCAATCTAACCCATGCACAGCTCACAGAGTTTCTCGCCGGATCTTCTCAGTGGGTTGCGTTTCCGATCCGGTGGTAGATTCTGTGAAGCACTGCTCTTGCTAGGGCCAGTGCTAGTAACACTTCCGTTTTGAGCCCCGTGAGCTCACCTATACACTAGGGTGAAGCTGAAATAGTCTCTCAAGGCTATCTACATAGGTAAAAGATAATAGCTACCGCCACTCACATTCCAAACCACCATCTAAAATAGAAAGTTTCGAAGCACTGACATATACATAATTTTCACCCTAAAACTTTTCGACCTCCATACGCCGAGAACATAACCTCGAAATCTAGTTTGGGCGCGTCACGCGAACGCGATCGATTCCCCGGCCGGCCTCATTCGAAATGAACATTATAAAACTTTACACATAAGATAATGGTAAAACCAGTTCACGTGTATATCGCGAAATATGTTTACGGGTGTTTGCCAACCGCTCCCTCCCACTGCTGGAACTCATCTGTAGCCAAGTTCCGCAGAGGCGATAACACCAAAAAATTCTCAACAACGAGACGCCGGTAACCCGAGGTAAAGATGCCTTGGATCCGGCAACAAACTTAATCGGAACACAACAAGAAACGAAGGAACATAGCCTCTAACTTCCCTCCCCATAAATTTGGGACCAGTTAAAGCTAGGAGGCGCTAAGCCAATAGCTGAGAAAAGTTTCAGACCGCTTACTTACTTATAGTAAGAGCCCATAGACATCAGAATGAACGTTTCCATCATACACTTTGGGACTTAAAGTCGAAGTGTCGATTGTAGAACAACTGTACCACCTTTCAAACCGAAACGTATGGCTGCTTCGCAGTAGAAAAGTGTGGATAGTAGGAAATCGATTGTTTTCAAATTCTTCCTTTTCAAGAGGCTTGATAGACCATCAGTCTTAAGGAGTGGGGAGCCGTACTGAGACTTCAAATCATGTCTCATGAAAGCGCAGCATTCATTTGCGATGTCTACGGGTTTCTTTGACCACTAAAACTAGGTCTTCCGTGAGCTCGTCCGCTCATATGATGCAATAAGAAAAGAAACCTTATTTTAATATACAATAGTCATTAACTAGACCGCTCTGCCCAAGGAACACCGTAACGGAAGTCTTGACTCAGCCGATTCACGATTCAGCCAAATGTCTCTAAAGTCACGCAAGTCTTACTGATTTATCGTGATAAAGATTATCTTCGTGACCGGCTCGTGGTTGGCTTTGTTATTGTAGCTTTTTTTTATTAGATTGATGTGAACAAGCACACGGCCCGCCTGAACTGACTCTTGTTTGAATCCGTGGAGGAGTGACTTTCACCGAGAATGATAAATCAAATCCATGTAGATCTGGCATTCATTGCAGTTTTCTAAAGCGGCCTAAGACTTTTCTGTTGTTCCTCAGGTCTTCACTCCGATTTATCTATTTCATCCTTGGACGGATACGAAGGAGAGACCCTGCGCCGTGGTGCTCTAGCAGCAGCCTGTGCAGATGCGGTGGCTGCCTATGCTACCCTCGAAGGTTCTAGAGTCAGAGACTCCATAGCCGCACATGCTCGTCGCGCCCTGGAAAGGGAAAGGCAGATTGATGAGAAGAACGAAATCATTGCTGATTTATCGGCCAAGGTAAGAGAAAAAAATGATAATGATATATAACACGGTTTCTTTTTTAATCACATTCACAGTTAAAAACCAGAAAAATACGAATGGCTGGGTTTCTGGATAGAGTCACCATAAATGCGAATCGCGAAAGACGTGAATATTAAATCCCAGGAATTGACTACTAGTAAACAGTCTTGCGTGAAAGGATTTTGCAACTGATCAGAACAATCTTCAAGCTATCATAGCAAAGCCAGAGCCCGCGATGATGTTGCTCACCTATGTCCTCCTTCCTATTTCTTAATGCGTTCTAGTCCGAAGGGCAGTAGTTGCAACAATTAAAACCTCGACCTTACCTCTCAAGGTGCGTGGTGACATTCATATGAATGTGACATGTCCATTCGCTCTGTTAACTATGACTCGAGGCGGCGACATTCACATTTTCTTGTTCCAATAGTTATATTGGATATCTACAGTCGTCGTGGCCTAAAGGATAAGACGTCCGGTGCATTCGTATCGAGCGATGCACTGGTGTTCGAATCTCGCTGGCGGGTACCAATTTTTCTAATGAAATACGTACTCAACAAATGTTCACGATTGACTTCCACGGTGAAGGAATAACATCGTGCAATAAAAATCAAACCCGCAAAATTTTAATTTGCGTAATTATTGGTGGTAGGANACAGTCGTCGTGGCCTAAAGGATAAGACGTCCGGTGCATTCGTATCGAGCGATGCACTGGTGTTCGAATCTCGCTGGCGGGTACCAATTTTTCTAATGAAATACGTACTCAACAAATGTTCACGATTGACTTCCACGGTGAAGGAATAACATCGTGCAATAAAAATCAAACCCGCAAAATTTTAATTTGCGTAATTATTGGTGGTAGGACCTCTTGTGAGTCCGCACGGGTAGGTACCACCGCCCCGCCTATTTCTGCCGTGAAGCAGTAATGCGTTTCGGCTTGAAGGGTGGGGCAGCCGTTGTGACTATACTGAGACCTTAGAACTATATCTCAATGTGTGTGGCGCGTTTACGTTGTAGATGTCTATGGGCTCCAGTAACCACTTAACACCAGGTGGGCTGTGAGCTCGTCCACACATTTAAGCAATAAAAAAAAAATAAAAAAAAAAAAATTTAACACAAGATAGGTTTACCCTCGTCTGATCACCTAAGACAAATGAAAGATCTTAGGCTTTATGATTGTACACATGTCACATATATTTTCGGTGACATCAGCAGATAACCATGCTGTCTTCAGTGCAATATCGGCCTGCCATTAATAAGTCGTTACATCCCAACTATGAACACTCGTTAACGCATGTGGCGATAATCCAGTAACAGAATATTCTATTGACTTTGTCTGTGTATATATAAATAGTCACAGAGGCCATAATATCTCGAGTGGCGACTGTGCGAAGACGTAGCGTGTGGAGACCTGTTATAAAGTGGACCGATGTTCTGATGGCGAAATCTGCTTGATGCGAGCAGTGCAGATTCGGTCATTGTAGCGAGTAGTGGTAGGCAGCGGCTTGGCTCTGCCCCTGGCATTGCTGAAGTCCATGGGCGACGGTAACCACTCACCATCAGGTGGGCCGTATGCTCGTCTGCCTACAAAGGCAATAAAAAAAATCTTTAGAGGAGGTTCATGTCCAACAGTGAACATCTGTAAGCTGATAATGAAGATCCTGTATATACGGAAACAAAATTAAGATACAGCTTTAATATAAACAGAAAATGCGTTGTTCCATTGAGTCGTTATTTCATGACCCGCAATGTAATATGTCCGAAATTCAGAGGTCAACAAACTTCGTAATGTAATTCCTAAATTTGATATTTGGAACTATAATAGTTAATGTTGGGTAAAGTTAAGTAGCCACTACTTGTACTGCTTGTTCGCTTCAAGTGATTAATGACCCCGAAGTTAGTTTAGTGAACAAATAAGTTTTATATAGGCGATCGGTCATCGTTCTCGTCGAACCGGGCGCTTGCGACGAAGGGCAAGTAAATTAACCCACAGACACAGCCCACTGAATTTCTCGCCGGATCTTCTCGGTGGGTCGCGTTTCCGATCCGGTGGTAGATTCTATGAAGCACGGCTCTTGCTAGGGTTCGTGTTAGCAACATCGTCAGGTTTGAGCCCCGTGAGCTTACCTACTAGTTAAGGTTACGCTGAAATGATCTCTCTAGACCATCAGCCTAGGTAGAAAAAAAATTTAGGCGAGCAAAATAATATTTTATTCTCCTTTCGACTTCAAAAATGATCTGCCTACCGTGCCACTATATTGCTTTCTTACATTACTTTGACAAATATACTTACAAGCTTCGACTTCCACAAATACATCATATCGAATTAAAAAAAAAACAAAATCCTCCTTAATCTATATAAGACACGCGGCTTCTTTTCAAGATAATCTTTAATAATCTGTTTAGTGTTTTGTAAGTCACGTTTATCCGATTATATCTTATATCGTTTATAACGTGCATGACGTATTAAGCGGATATTATTTCAAGTCAGCAATAGATCCATTGTAAGTGAAGTAATGTACATAGCGTATGGCAGCGGCTTGGGTGTATTGGATATTGGCGTTGCTGATGTCCACGAGCGACGGTGACAACACATCAAGTGAATCGTAAGCTTGTTTTTTGTGGCTTACAACCCGCACCATGAGACATGAGGACTACGTCTTAATTGTAATTAATAATAATAATGATAAGCCCAATTTATTAAAAAAAGAAAAACACCTTATTAAATAAAAAATACAAATATAAACTTATGCTATTGGAACCCCATTCGGGTATTGGCCCCCACCAATGTCTTTTCTGTAGCCACGTTTCTTCCCATTCCACGAGATCATTGACAACGTGCGTTAAAGAATTACTAAGAATGTTCCTACATATACAAATATAAATCTAGTTTCTGATTGAGTTTGTGGGTATTTTTAAAGTTCACTAAATTGTCTGTAAACTCATTTCTGACAGGCAAAAGGAATTATTATGTGTAGTGGATGTTATTACTGATATTCGGTCACAGAGCAGATATAAACCCTGATACGCTGAAAAGGCTCATCGTTACCGGCAAACTATAAGGTAAAAGACTTAGAAACCGAAGCCCAAAGCGTTGGTATTACCAGATGCCTCATCAACTAAATTCGCGACGCGGATAAAAATAGGATTACTTTAAGAGAAACAGTAAGAAGACTACAGAAGAGTCACAATCCTCAACAATCAGGGAACGACCAGAAGAAGAGTAATAAATCTACTTATCATCAGACTGGATTTCAATTTGAGTGATTCGATGACTCTCTTGCATTCACGTCACGGTCGCTAGCTCATAGAATCGATACGAAATCGAACCGTTAAATCGATTTAATTCAAAAACCGATAAAACGAAGGAACGGTTGTTGTTATTTGTGGTAACTGAAAATTAGACACGGTGTTGCTATACCCAAAAAAGTTCTTTCGAATAAATACCAACTTTTTGTTGACTTTAGAATAAATAATTCTAGGAGAGGTCATACTCCAGATTTGGGATATTACGAGTAATTCGCACAATGAAGAAAAATAATTCATTCTCATTTACATAATTCAGTATTATTTGGTCAGAAATCACAAGCACGTGGAAATAATAAATTCGCCATCTCAGTATTTACTGTGAAAAATAAAATTGAAATAATTAGTAGAAAGTAGGAAATCGATATTTTTTAAGGGATTTTATGACCTGGTAACTAAGACCTTTCGGTCAAAAGGAAACCGAAATAATTATGGATCGTTGTTAGTACATAAATCTACTTTATTACCATCTGCTTTTTAATCCTGGCAAACACAGATAGTATTCGCGCGTTAGTTTTGCGAAATGAGCGGTTCGTTAACATTTGAAGTCAATAAACGGATCTCGGTTGGATCATCGACCTAAATAACAATACATTCTGGCTGTAAATACTGTTACTATAAATAAAAACACATACAAGAATAAAAAATATATATATTGCAATTCGAAATCCGTTATTCTCTCTCTCTCTCTCTCTCTCTCTCTCTCTTTGTGATAAATCGGGCCTTTGACGTAGGTAGTCTCCGTACTAAAAAGGCGCTCAAAGCCAGCGAAGGAAACAAACCCTGTCCAAAGGAAGATCTACCTGAAGAACTGAACTACACTGGCCGTTATAACTATACTGAGACCTTAGAACTTTACGTTTACGTTGTAGATATCTATGGGCTCCAGTAACCACTTAACAACAGGGGGGGTGTGAGCTCGTCCAACCATCTAAGCAATAAACAAAAAAACTGCATCCAGAGCCATCTTGCTTATTTCTAAAGATAATTTAGGTCTTGCAGCTTATAATACAGGCATTGATTAGTATTTTATCGACGAAATTAAAATGAATAGATTGAAAAAATAATTACGTGAAGAGGTTCAGTGTAATTAGTATTTACAGATATTTTAATACGCAGCACTTCCACATACATGTTTAATCGCATTGTAAATTATAACCAAGGACAATCTGGACTTCCACGTTTCACTAATAATAAATTTTGGTGGCGCATTAAATACCTATTATAATAGGTAAACTTTATCGATTTATTGTAACTAGAGGTCCCGCAGTAGTCGAAATTCGACTATAATTAATTGGAATTGTAAGTTTGTACACTATTATGATTGTATTTTATACTTCTATAATCACAAATATCGCCAAAACTACATTATAAAAAATATTAACAAAGACAAACAATATATAAATCTATTCTCAATTTGACAACAGACGTCAAGAACAAAAGTTTTACAATAAATAAATATGCATGCGTGTGTGCGTCAAATACATGGTATGTAGTGTGTGTAATGTTTTCTTTATTGATTTAATGTATCATTTATGCATTATTTTAAAAAAATATTAGCATTATGCACTTCATCTTTATATTCTCTATAAGTGTGGAAAATTTCATACTCCTCCGTCCGCGCAATTTTCGTAAAAAGGGATACAAAGTTTTTGCTTCACGTATTAATATATAGATAATGTCTATTATTTGCG